TAGGTTTCAAAACCCAGATCTCAGCTGGAGCAGGCACCACAGTAAGTGCTGAGCACTTCCAGCTGACCCAGGAATTAACACAATGCTGCAACCCAGAGCCCTTTAACATGCTTTTGGAGGTCTCTGCTACCTCTCTGGGAAGTATTTGTGTCTGTGCATCTACAGTTTTACTGATGCAGAGCAGTGACGGRGCAGTCAGGAGAACAAGACAAAGGTGGAAAATGACTGCAGGCATGCATTAAAGCATTCAGCTTGTCCAGCTGAAAGAGATTTCTGCCAAACAATTTTATAAGGAATGAGGCATTTTACAGGAAAAGCAGGGCCTCTCCTCTCATTTCCTTTCCCCTCTCCTCTGTGAACTTCAAAGGAAAGAGAGGTCAAGACAGAGGCCAGGCAACTGGAACTGAGTTCCTGAGCCCTAAGGCCTAATTAGTCCAAGATACATTTCATTYGGTATCTTTCAGAGACTGGCCTAAATTACCAATCTTCCCTGCTGTGCTGCTGAGGGTTGGATAAAGCCAGAGTGTGGTCCACAGTTTGCACGGCCTCAGCATCAYCAGAGCTCTTGGGGGGAGGGGTGAATGTCTCAGTCCAAGCCCCACTGAAGACAAGGCATTCCCAACTGCCCCCCTTCCCCCAAGCTTTCTGTGGCCACAACTAAAATCCCCTCTCCAAGACAGGGAATGTCTCCACAACTAAACCCSCCTCTCTCCATTGTCCCTACCTCCCTGGTGCTTTTCCCACAGCTGCTGGTCACTACAGATGGCAAACAGCCCTAGAGYGAGGTGGCTGTTGCCCCTCCTTGGGTCAGCTGAGGCTATCAAAGAGCTTTCAGCCACTTGTARTTACCCTTCCAGAAGTTATAGGCATATTAAACCTCCCTCCTGCCTCACCTCATGCAGGCCTTGTGCAGAGACAAGCCCAGCTCCTGCCAGCAGACCATGTGCTCCACACCCTTTCCTGCCTCGCAGCTGTTTGCTGGYCCCCCTCCAGCTTCTCCACGTCCTTCCCTAGTGGGTAGCCAGAAGAAGGGATAACAATGTCCCTTTATCTGTCTCCTCACATGGCCCAGCATGTGGTCTGCCTCACCAGAAATGATAAACAAAACTTGGTTTCGCACAGGTTTAACAATTCTCTGGAACCACACATCAACCTCAATTCACAGATCTCTCCCTGCGGGACACAATGGCCTGGGTGGGGTTTTTTCTTTAGGGACCCACAAAAAGWATTCTCAAGAACCGAGAAACAGAAATCACACAGGCTGTTTACCCTGCACAGCTTCTCCCAAGAGGCTGGCCTCAGAGGGGTGCATTTTATTTTAAGACTACAGTAAATGCACTTTGATGGAAGGACTAGTTTCTGGCCTTGTGRTCTGAAAGCTGAGAAACACCAAACTTCAATGCAGATCACTAGAATAATTCAGAGAGCAGGGAAAGGACATCATTGTCATTGTAAGCTCATATGGCCCCTGGTGCCATAGAACAGCTTTGGAGCATAGGAAACAAGCCTTGCAGCTTGTGAGGCAGCAGATAGTCACACATGAAGTCAGATATCTGACTGGCAGGGAATGTGATGTCCTCATGGATGTGGGGTGGGCTGTGATTCTGCACCCCATCTACTTCACGAATCCTCCTCCACAGCCACTGCAGACTGGTGACTTGGTCAGCATAAGGCACAGCTCAGTACTCCTGGCTGGCTGCTCAAGCTGCTCTCCCAGAGAAGCAAGAGAGCAGGAYGCAAGCAGGAGGAGAAAGCAGGCGATTGAGTCAGGAGGAATCAAAAAAATGTTTTATTAAATTTTCTGCCAGAAAGATATGTAAACATCTTGCCTTAAAACTTTTGATTCCAAGGTGCTTGCTCAGCTTCCTTTTAAAGAATGGGCCTGGGACTAATRAGAACTGGGTTCAGCTCCATGTACCACAGATATCTGCACTGCCTAACTGCATTAATACTGTTTATTTTCCTTTGCATCCCAAATGGAGCCAAAATATAAAATGRAAACATTTCCTTCCTTTATGTAAYGCTCTGCCAGAGCTGGCATCTTGTGAGTGTTGTTTGGAAGGATCTCTGGAGGTCTTCAGACACTGGACTGCTGCCAGCACCAGATCAGATTGGCTGTAGCTGTGTCTAGCCACAAAGTCTGATTCTTGAGAGCTTGCATAGCACTTGGAGCATGGGGACCCTTTTCTCAGATGGAGTTCATGGAGGGCACAAGAAGGTTTACCTGGGATGTCCACCTCCTGCATCTATCAAGAAAGGACTGTCAGAAGGGGAATGCATCGAGTAAATTAGCACGTTCCTGTGCTGAATTCACTTCTCAGAAAAATGCCTGAGGACTGAGACARTTCAGGACCAGGTAGCCTCCCTGTTTGGTTTTTCCTACTAGAGGCTATTAACACTGAAGGGAGACAGCAAGAGAGCACCAGTTGAATTTACTGAGGAACTGAGCCAGATTCCTATGTGCTGCCAGCACAAAAATAGCTGCCATCTTTAAATTTTATTGCTTTTCTTTGTTACAGTCTGGATCAGACTTGTTTTCAAAACAACCTTCAAACAACATAAATACACCTGTCACTGAAAACAAATATGCTTAGAACAATTGAACAATACTTCCCAGAAATAATCCCTGCACCTGCATAAAATAGGTTAAAAATTAGTTGGGATCACAGAGAGGAAACAACAGAACACAGAATGTTAGCCATGCACTGCGCTCACTGTTTTTTCAACTTCATGCTATTGGATTACTTTCTTAAGTACTCTGGGGACAGAGACAGCAAAGAACAGCTTTCTTTGGCAAGGGGAAGCAGTTTCTCACACACCGCTCTGTTTTCCATGGCTCATCTAGCAAAATGTACACGCCTGAAAAAACAGCAAGAAAAAGTCYATCCAAGAGGGGCCAAGTATCATGRATTCCACAACCACACATACTTGGCAATCGAGCACTGGTATCAGACACTCACTGAATGTAGGTGGGAAGTGCTGCATGCCAGGAAGGCACGAGGACTATGACCTTGGCACTGCCCAGGGAGCAAGGAGCCTCGCTTCCTGACAAGGCCAACTAAGCTTATGTGTAGCCAGGAGGGACGCAGTTTTACTCATCTTGTAGCACTATCTAGGACTACAAGGCTTTTAGCCCCCCAGCCAGAGTCCAAGCAGCATGGATGGACTGCCAGAGCCACCCTTAATGTGTTTAGAGAACAGTTATCTTCTCACGCCCATCCCTGTGTTGGCAAATGTATCAATTTAAAAAGTTTTTATAAAACTTTAGTCAGAGATTTTGTTTGCCTTTGTCCCGGGAACGGGTACTGAAGTTTCTAACCAGGATATCTTTCCACTAGGTGAGGCCTGATGAGCTTCACATCTCAACAGACAGAGTAACACAAAAGATAAGGACCATCAACGGCCATCAGCGGCCATTAACAGAACATCAGCTCCAAACCTCCCCCCTGGAGACACCTGGTCTGGGAAAAGAGATAAGAAGGAAGAGCTAATTAGCACSGGAGGCGAGGAAATTCAGATCCAATAAGGAACCAAATACTGAGAACTGTGCAACGTTGGACCAAAAAACATTAAACCAATATAGTTCTACGGGTTTTAACTGTGTAAAGTTTGGGAAAAATCTTGTAAAATTAATGCATAGTGGAATGATTTTTTTCTTACACACCCGGGCTATGTGTGGATGGAATTATTGCTGTTGCATATCCTGGCAAGAACAACATCCTGGCCAGGAAATAAAGTAACGCCTCGACTCTTTTACATCAAAAATGTTGGAAAGTTTTTGTTTTTCCCTCAGTTTCCCTGACACTGCCATGGTGGGCCACTGGAGGGCTCTGCCCAGTACAGCAGCATTTTTCCAACTCTTGGTCCATAATTAAAACAACCAAGACACACTATTAATTTCCTTAYTAATATTAATTTATGCATTGTCATTCTTTCATACATTACCACACTCCTGAGATGAAGATCTCACAATGGCTTTTTAAGACTTGAAAACTCCAAGTTACACCCTGGATCTGCAAACCTGTGTGTACAAAGAAACAAGAGGCTAAGGAACTGTTGCATGTCCTTTCCAGAATGCCTGGCCTGCAGTCTGACATGTCTGAGAATCTTCTAAAAGAGAGAATCTTCTAAAATCCCTATGAATGTAAAACAGTGGGTGGAATCACAGAATTCACTAGGTTGGAAAAAACCYCCGGGATCATTGAGTTCAACCAATGACCCAAAACCACCTTGTCTACCAGACCACAACACTATGTTCAGTATTTTCTTAATTCAGGGACGGTGACTCCACCATCTCCCTGGGCAGTCCATTCCAATGTCTAATCACCCTTTCTGTAAATAAATTTTTCCCGATGTGTGACCTGAACGTCCCCTGGCGCAGCTTGAGGTGCCATGTCCTCCTGTCAGTAGTTGCCTGGGAGCAGAGGCCAATCCCTACCTTGGCCAATCCCAAATTCCCTTCAGGGAGTTGTAGAGTGATAAGGTCACCCCTGAGCCTTCTTTTCTCCAGGCTGAACAMCCCCAGCTCTTTCAGCCACTCCTCATAGGATTTATGCTCCACACCCCTCACCAGCTCTGTTGGTTCGCATCTCAATGTCTGTCCTGAATCGGGGGACCCATAAATGGACACAGAGCTCGAGATGTGCCCTCACAGTGGCGAGTGAAGGGTGACAATCCCCGCCCTGCTCCCGCCGGCCACACCATTGCTGACACAGGCCGGGGTGCCACTGACTTTCTTGGCCAGCTGGGCACGCACAGGCTCAGGTTCAGCCGGCTGGAGCTGTAGTGCACTGTGYGGGAAGCCATCGGGAATTCCCGCGTTCCGCATTCCCACAGCGGAGCATTCCAGGCCGTCCCTGCGCTGGAGCCGCTGCGCCGCCAGGGGGCGCGCGAGCCCCGCCGCCGCAGCGCGAGGCGGGCCCGCCGAGTGACGTCATCCCGCAGGCTCGAGGGGCGGGGCGGGGCGCGCGCGCGGTACTTATAGTGGGGGGGCGGAACGGGAAGCGGAAACCGCGGGGAGAGGGCTGGCGGAAGGCCTTGGGGAGCACCACCGCCAGCAACACTACTGCTACCACTAGCGGCGGCTGCAGCAGCACCAGCACCAGCACCAGCGGCGGCTCAAGATGTCTATCGAAATCGAGTCCTCCGAGTAAGTGTAGCGGCAGCGCGGGGGCATGGGGTTGGACGGGGAGGGAGCGGTTTGGCGGCCCCGGCTTTGGCCCAGGCGCCAGTGGCGGAGGGGACGGGACGGGAGGCGAAGCAAGGCCCGGGAGGCGAAGCGAGGCCCGGCGGTTTCGGCGCCATAGGGAGCCCAGGGGTGCGGACGGTACCCGCCGCGGCCGGGAAGGCGGCCCGTGTGTCCGGTGCCCCGGCTGACCGTGTTCTATGCCATCCCCCGCAGCGTGATCCGGCTCATCATGCAGTACCTGAAGGAGAACAGCCTCCACCGGGCGCTTGCCACCCTTCAGGAGGAGACCACCGTGTCCCTCAACACCGTGGACAGCATTGAGAGTTTTGTGGCAGACATCAACAGCGGGCACTGGGACACGGTGCTGCAGGCCATWCAGTCTCTGAAGCTGCCCGACAAGACCCTTATTGATCTCTACGAGCAGGTGAGCGAGAGCGGGGTTCCTACGGACTCTTCTGGTCTATGTGGAAGCATCCCTGTGGTATTTTTCGCTAACCCTTTGCTGATGCAGACATTTGTCTCTTGGTGCAGGTTGTGCTGGAGTTGATTGAGCTCCGGGAACTGGGTGCTGCCAGGTCTCTGCTGAGACAAACAGATCCCATGATCATGCTGAAACAAACTCAGCCAGAGCGCTACATTCACCTCGAAAACCTTCTTGCCAGATCTTACTTTGATCCTCGTGAGGTATGTTATGCCCTTCCCTAGAGATCTCTCTTGCATGACCCTCAGCATCATTCCAAGCCACTGATGGCTCTTGGCATTGTTTTTTCTCTTGTCTATCTGTGAATGCCAACATGCAGTTTGCCATTTTGATGCTTTTACCTTTAACTTTTATGGAGAATTTGGGAACTGGTGCATGAGACTTTATAACAAGGCAGCAGAGCAGTGGGTTTGAAGTGCTGCARTTGGGAGTTTGGGGATTTGTACTTGTGTCCTGCCGCAGGATGAYATCTGCGGCTTGCTTTTTTTCTGTTAGGTAGGCAGCAGAAGCAAACAYATGGGTTGTGTGAATAGAAATAGTGCTATGTAATTACAATAATAACAAAGCACTTGTCGTGACCAGTTACATCAGTCTGCCATTTTTGGGGATAGCATGTTAGGTTAATGGCTAATTTAGTTACRGGACCGATCTTTGAGATTTTTTCCGGCTGTGATAAATGTGTGCTTTTAAGGGTTGGTGTTAAAGAGAAGAGCTGTTTGGAGGCCTGATAGAAAATTTATATGGAAAGGGATTCAATTTCAGAGCAACAAAGGTGTTTTTGGGAAAGAAAAATATTTAGAACAGTAAGCTCATAAAAATAACCTTTCTCTAGGCATACCCAGATGGGAGTAGCAAAGAGAAGCGGAGAGCTGCTATTGCACAAGCTTTGGCTGGAGAAGTCAGTGTGGTACCTCCATCTCGTCTTATGGCRTTGTTGGGGCAGGTGAGTCTTGAAAAATATTTTATTAATTATGTCTTTAGAGGTTTGCTGCAGAAAGTTATGATATAGTTGACTCTTYAACTCTATAGATAGTATAAATGTTACACTTTTGCATGAGGTATAGTTAAAAATTATATTTTCCCATGTGGCAAATATTTAGCAGTTTTAGGAAAAGTCATCACTCTAGCAGTAGGTTTCTTCCAATGGAATAAATACACAGCACATGATGTGCACTTAGAGAATAGCTTTCTGTAACACAGAATTTTTGTTGTGCTTTTAACCTTTTCTGATTCTCAGAATGTATTCATTGGTACTCTGTGCAGTATTTCATATGTCATAGATCTGTGTTAACTGGTAACTAATGGTGTGACTTTCATTTCCTGTAAAGGCTCTGAAATGGCAGCAGCACCAGGGCCTGCTTCCTCCTGGTATGACAATTGACTTGTTCAGAGGCAAAGCAGCTGTGAAAGATGTAGAAGAAGAAAAGTTTCCCACACAGCTGAGCAGGCATATTAAGGTAATGTTTGCTTTTGTGTGTTACTGCTGCTTATTCCTTCTCATGGTTTATGTTGGTAGATAAGGGGAAATCTTCTGAACACTTCTGTTCTCTTTGTTGTAAGTCGTTAGTTGTGAGCCTCCTCCCTYGTGCCCCGTGCCCAGTGCCCCACAAACACCTGTGTTTTTGCCTCCCTTTTCCATGCTTTATCTTATCAGAAGACTTTTCTTTGTGGGAGTCTGAAATAAGGCCTTTTAATAAGACTGGATGCTTATGGTATTTGTGATTAAGATAACAATGTAGTTTATTTGATTTCACAGTTCAGAATCACATTACAGGAATATGCATACTCCCCTCCTTTATGTGTGTAGACAAATAAAAGCTGTTTTTCAGAAGTTGTGAATTGGACTTTTTGAAATCAGTTTGTGGTGTTCAGTAAGAACTTGCTAAAAAGCTTTATTAGAATTTATTTTCTTTGTCATTGCTACTCTTGTATTTTTGTTGGGGCTACTGAAAACTTTTTTCTGTACTCAGTTGTCGTGGCCACTTGTATTTAAAAATGTAGAAATTAAAAAAAAATTAAAAAAATACCAGATGTTCTCTGTGCAAATTACGCTAGAGAAACATCACTCCAAATGAAGCAACTTCAGAAATTCAGAAAGTTTTGAAATGTGCTTGAGATATATATTAGGTATCGAAAGGGTGTTTGTTGACACACAATTTGCTGCAAAGACAAAAATACGAAGACAACTGATTCAGCTGCTGCTGTAAGCATGGAGTGTCTGATGTAAATTTCACAGATATCACTAGATCAGAAGTAGGGTTGTTTTTTTTTTTTTTTTTAAATGTTACTCTGTATCTATTGACAGATCCTTTGTTCCTCAACCTTAAATTTGTGAATACAAACCTCTGGCAGATACTTTATTTTTACTATCAGAATGACACTGCAGTTTTGTTTTAATGAGTTTTGTCTTTTGAATAGCTTAATGAACTTTGTTTATGTTTCTGTTTATAACAGTTTGGGCAGAAGTCGCATGTGGAGTGTGCTCGGTTTTCTCCAGATGGACAATATCTGGTTACTGGCTCTGTTGATGGCTTCATTGAAGTATGGAACTTCACTACTGGAAAGATTAGGAAGGTAAGTTACTCCTTATTTCACACAGATAGTATGCTTGCCAAAGCACCTGGATTTATTCTTCAAGATTGTGAGGGACTGTTAGGAACCTGAGAAGGCTGTCTGCTTAGATGGTTCAAATATCGGTCTGCAGTATTGATACGGGTTTAGTAATTTGATTTGTCACAGGTTTTTTTTTATGTGGTAACTGTTCTTACCTTCCTGTATTGTTAYTGTTGTCTTTGTAAAGTATAACTGAAGTTAAAACTGTTATACTTTTGCATATTGCCTTAAAAGTAGATTTAATTTATTTTAGTAATATGACTGATGGATCATCTGCTTTTGTTTAGGATCTGAAGTATCAGGCACAAGATAACTTCATGATGATGGATGATGCAGTGCTGTGCATGTGCTTCAGTAGAGATACAGAAATGCTAGCAACTGGAGCCCAAGATGGGAAAATCAAGGTACAAATCATTTTGTATAGTATGTTGGGAGGGGGTGGTGATAAAAATTATTTGATTGCAATAGCAGTAATGTTCCCATTCAATATAAACCCAAAGGAAATTTAATATGGCTCAAAACCTCTTATTATTGGGTCTGATGTTTAAGCTCATGTGATCTCGTAACAAAATAATCACTTATTTTCTCTTTTCAGGTGTGGAAAATCCAGAGTGGTCAATGTCTCAGAAGATTTGAACGAGCACACAGCAAAGGTGTTACATGCCTCAGTTTCTCTAAAGACAGCAGCCAAATTCTTAGTGCTTCTTTTGATCAGACAATCAGGTAAATAAACTGAGAATGTGTGAGCTGCAGTGTGGGAGAAAAGATAACCGATTTTTCACGTTAAGATGTTTTAACTATAAAATCTTGTAATCTAGAAGATACCTGTAGAGGTCTCTAGTCTGCTATGCTTCTCAAAGCACAGCCAGCCTTTCAGTTAAGACAGCCTGTTCAAGGCGTTGGCCAGCCCAGTTTTGACAATCTCCAGGGTTCAAGACCCAGCTGCTTCTCTTGGGAAAATCCTGTTTGGATATAGGGAAAGATGTTTTGGATTGGTTTGATACTGCTTTCTCTTTAAATAGGGGTGATACTGCTTTCTTTTTAAATAGGGKTGATCCTTTGCTTTTTGTACTTGAGCTGTGCACCTTGTCTATTTATTCCCTAAAAAACATGTTGGGTACTGATGTTAACCCAATAATGACAAGGTTTCAGGTGTTTAGTAAGGACTCGGGTATCCCACTTTCTCTTTCCTTTTTCTCCCTTTTTTCATTTAGGATCATTGCAGGGTAGGTTAGAAGTTAGAATAAATATATTCAGAAAGATACTCAAAACGTTGTTCTAATCCTAAATTAGCAGACAACAGGAACCTCATCAAACCCTTTTTCCTGCTGCTCTTAGCATCAGAAAAGTGTTGATTATTGTTTTGTGTAATGCAGTAATTCTGATCCTGCACCTAGTCGCTGGGTGGAATTTGCTCACTTGCATCTATGTTGTCTGACAGGATTCATGGTTTAAAATCTGGGAAAACCCTGAAGGAATTCCGTGGTCATTCTTCCTTTGTCAATGAAGCTACTTTCACCCAGGATGGCCACTACATTATCAGTGCATCCTCTGATGGCACAGTGAAGGTAAGATGGCGTTTACCCTTTGTAAAGAACACCTTTAGACTCTTGCTATCTAATAGCGGATTTGTTACATAATTGTTGCAGTCATTGGAGAAGGACTTGAAGCTATCTGCAGTAATGAGTCTACTTGTGACCTTTGCTGTAGATTTGTGTGAGAACTGATGAAATTCCTTACTCTGCTTGCAGTCACTTGCAGGGCTTGTCCCTGCTGCATTTATGACCAGGGACATAAGTGCAGTGCTTATTGCCTGTTTTGCCTTATTCTAGACATAGAATTGACTGCTACACCTCTTGTTTTAGGATGTGGGGATTCTGTAGTCTGAAATAATTGCATATCAGGTTGTTCTTAATGATTTTTTAAAAGCTAATTTGTTTCACTTATTTTTCATACTAGGTTTGGAATGTGAAGACAACAGAGTGCTCCAACACCTTCAAGTCCCTTGGTAGCACTGCTGGGACAGACATTACTGTGAACAGTGTCATTCTGCTGCCTAAAAACCCTGAACACTTTGTTGTTTGCAACAGATCGAATACAGTTGTCATCATGAATATGCAAGGACAGGTATGTGATCTTTTTGCTATCATTTCAAGTCTCTGTAATTTCAAGAATGCAGAAAAACCTAGWTAATAACCTAGCCCTGGGTTAAGCCAAATTTCTCTGGTTTGTTTTCATGCAAACGATTCTGTACTTAAGCTCACAGATTTACAGCTATGGAAAGGACTGTGTTCTAAATGGACCTAGTACTCCTTAAATATTTTTGCCCTAAAGACGATAGTGATTGTTGCTGTTTTAATTCTGACAAATGGTTTTGGGTGTGTTTTTACAGATTGTAAGAAGTTTCAGCTCTGGTAAGAGAGAAGGTGGTGACTTTGTCTGCTGTGCACTTTCACCTCGTGGTGAATGGATCTATTGTGTTGGTGAAGATTTTGTGCTGTACTGTTTCAGCACAGTGACCGGCAAGCTGGAGAGAACTCTGACTGTAAGTTTTAGCTCTGAGCTTTTCCAGAGTTTAAACACAATGATGTAAATGTTCATTATGACATCTGTAAGGAGGCATCTCAGACCAAAGAAACTTCATCTCTAGCAGACACAATTGGTAACAAATRTATTTCACAACATTTGGCCATGGAATGTTTGGTTACTTTAAAATGATTTAATTGTAAAAATTAGGAAAATATTTACTCTCCAAGCAAAGAGTGATTTGGTTCAGACTTCCTTGAATGGGAGCATGTCTTGGCCTGGTCTCCAGCTGGTGGGAGAATCTGACCAAGCTGTCAGGTTTAAAGCACTTTGGTTTAAATTTGCTTTAGGTTGAGCCAAAGAGGAATACCAGCTTGAATGTCTAAATTTAATGGGGAACACTTAGACTATGTGGTTTTCAGTGGATGTAAATTTTCACTGAACCTTCCCTTGCCCAACAAAAAGTAACTGCCATGTCACAGAAATTGTTGTGACTGGGATTCAGTGTTGAAGGGTATGTAGTTCTGCTTATGCCCTGTACACAGAGCATGTGAACCCTCAGTCTAGCTTGCCTCCAGTTGTTTTTTAGAGAATATTTGTCTTGAATGTGCTAAAGAATGATTCTCCTAATGCATCTTTCTGCTTACTCYCTAGGTCCATGAAAAAGATGTCATTGGCATTGCTCATCACCCCCACCAGAACCTGATTGCCACTTACAGTGAAGACGGCCTGCTCAAGCTCTGGAAGCCATAGATTTGTTTTGCAGTGAGCTCTGAAGCGTGCCTGTTACTTGCAGGTTACTAGTGTTTGTGCTTTAACAAGGTCTAGATATACTGAGTGTGATACTTGCTCAATTTTCAGTTCAGATTTCCAGAGAATTACATTTTTACTTACCTAAAGTAGATTGATGCATAAATACAGCATCAGTTAATTTCATATACTTTAATTTTTACTAGAGTAGTTGAAGCAACTTCAGTGAGAGTGTTTTCTGTCTTCTGAAGTCTGTACTCTTCCTAAGATGTTTGTAAAAGTTTAATGAGCCAGCAGCTTAAGAGTGGTTGCTGACTTCTTCAAATATTTCCTCAAAAAACATATGTTTTTTTGGTTGTTTTTATTTTTTAAAGTGAAATGTGGAATGGGAAAGCTGTCTCTTCCCCACTGCTGAAACAGCCTTATTTCCCTGGAATGCAGATGAGGATGCTATATCCTCATCTTGAAGATGGGGTAGTTTCTGGGCTATTGGGTTTTGCTGTGTTCAATTTTCACTATCATTTTTTCAATTGTATTGGAAAGTAGTTCACACAGCTGCCTCAGAACGAAACTGTCCTTCCCCATCTGCCAGCACTTCCTGCGATAGACTGTACCCCTGCCTAATGTGGCAGTGAGATACAGTTGCTTTTGTTTGGGGATTTTTTTGGGTTTTTTTTTTTTTTTNTTTTTTTTGCTTTGCTTTCAGACTAAAAGGAGATATTACCGGGGCCCTCTTCTTGTAAGTGCAAAATGTCTTCAGCCCAGCTGTGGCTGAAACAGGCTCCAGGGGATCAATATTTTAAAACATGCGAAAGTTGGTTTACATAGGCTGAGTTCCTAGTGCTGTGATAATGCTTTAAATAATGATTTTTAAGATTTTTTTTTTTAATTTCATATGCCTGTGGACCTAGTTAAAGTTATGCTTAGGTCCCACCAGATGATAAAAAGATACTCTCAGGCTCTTTAGTTTGGAGCGCATTATGATGAAAGATTCTGACTAATGTACACTGTTCTGAATGTACACCAGAATCTTCTAAAGTCTGACCATGTGTTTTCTAGAATGCAGAAAAATGAGACTTTTCCTGTAGTGATGAGTCAAATGCATGTAGATTTGAATCTGCTGCACTGTGTCCTGTCCTCATCTCCTGTAAAATGCTTTCCTACTGCAGTGATCTTTCAAACAGTTATAACTTGTCTTTGACTCAATAAATTAGTTCCACTTTTAATTACGTTGTCTTCTGTCTTTAGTGTTGTGGGGAAATGCAGAAAAAGTTCRTCTGGAATTCTCACACAGCAGCTTTGCTACAAGTGTAATGTTTAGTTCTCTGTTTAGTGATGTCTGAATTCGCAGGTTGTTTCTTACTTTAGATGCATCAACAGCAGGGTTTTTCAGATAGTAAGAAGTGATTTGTTTCCTTCCTGAAAAGATGGAAATATTTGACACTGATACATCTGTCAAATTGTTGTGGTTTGACCCTGGCCAAGCACCCATGGCACCCATGACAGCTGCTCACTCACTGTCTCTTAACAAAGCTGGGCAGAGGAGAAAAAGAAATTTAACAAAGGGTTCATGAGGTGAGATAAGGACTTGAGAAAAGACTCCAAGGGCAAAATAGGTTCAACTTCGCAATAAATTCACTTTGCAACTCTAACAGAGACAGAGGAGAAAGGGAAGTGAGAAGTAAAAACAAGCCCTCCCAGCCTTCTCCCTCCTTTCCACCGACAGCAGAGGGAGCAGGACATGGGGAATTTGGTCAGTTCATCACCAAGATCTGCTGCTCAGGGAGAGGAATCCTTCCCATGTCACCGTGGGGTTCCTCTCACAGGAGGCTGTTCTCTCCTCCAGTATGGGTCCACTCCCACAAGCAGCAGTCATCCCAAAACTGCTGCAGCGTGAGTCCCTCCCACGGGCAGACAGTTATSCCAGAACWGCTGTYGCATGGGTCACTCATCCACGRGGTGCAGTCCCCAAGGACAGGCTGCTCCAGCCTGGAAGCAGGGCCTCTTTCTCAGCAGGATCCCCCACTGGATCACAGCGTCCTCCAGGCATCCCCTCGCTCTGCAGTGCGCAGCTCCTCCAYRGGCTGTGGGTGGATCTCTGCATCCCCCATGGACCCCATGGGCTGCAGGGGCACAGCTGCTCCACCAKGGCTGCAAAGGAATCCCAGCTCCAGTGCCTGGAGCAGCTCCTSCCCCTCCTTCTCCACTGCCCTTGGTGTCTCCATGTTGTTCCCTCACATGTCCTCACCTTCTCTGGCTAGAGAAAACTGTGCTCCTTTTGTTTTGATTTCTTCTTAAATATGTTTTCACAGAGGCGTAACCATCATCTTCAATTGGCCCAGGTTTGGTCAGTGGCATGTTCCATCATCCTCAGAGCCATCAGCAATTGGCTCTGSTGGACACAGTGGAAGCTTCCAGAAGCTTTTCACAGGAGCCATCTTTGTGGGGACCCCCCCTCTACCAAAAACAGGGCCAAGCAAAACCGACACACATGGCTCATGTTAAGCTTTGTGTCCACCAGGACCCCAAGGTTCCTTCTCTGCTGTTTTCCTGCAGAATTGCCCCCATGTGCTACTGCATTGTGTTGTTCCTCCCCAGGCTTAGGACTTTGCACATCCCTTAAATTTCATTAAAGTCCTGTCAGCCCATTTCTCCAGCCTCTCCAGATCCCTCTGGATGGCAGCAAGCCCTCTGTTGTATAAGCTGCTTCTCCCATTCCTGCGGTGCCATCTGCAAGCTTGCTGAGGGCTGCAGGCTGTGCTGACCCTGGGGTACACTGGAAGCACTGTCCTCCAACTGGGCTTTGTTGCACTCATCATGCTCTGGGCCTTGCATTYAGCCAGTTTTCCATCTACTTCACTGTTCATCCACCCCATACCACAACACCTTCCCTGCGTGGATCACAGGACTCAGTGCCACAGGCCTTAGAGAAAACCAGGGACACAATGCCCACTTCTCCTGTCTTGCAGCAGGTCAGTCATTGCATTGTGAAGTTTATCARGCTGGTTAAGCATGGCTCCCCTTTGGTGAAGCCATCCTGACAACATCCAATGGTTTTCTTGTTCTTGATGTGCCCTGGAAATCGTTTCTGTGTCTGGCTGCACCATTACCTTCCATGGGATTGAGGTGAGCTTGACAGACCTTTAGCTCTTTGCATTCCCCTTATCTTGCCCTTCTCAAAGGCCTCCACCCCACCTGCCAAAGCAAGGTCACCTAGAGCAGGTGGGTTTTGAATGTCTCCAGAGAGGGGAAGTCCATTACCAGTACCAGTACTCTGACACCTTCCAAAGTTCTTCCTCWTGTTGGGGCAGCCTCAGCCACTCCTCATACGGCTTCCCTTCAAGGCTCTTCACTTGTCTTTTTTGTCCTCCTTTGGATGCTCTCTAACAGCTCAATGTCTTTTTTACATTGTGTCACCCAGAACTGCCCCCAGCACTGGAGGTGAGGCCRCCCCAGGTCAGAGCAGAGYGGGACAATCCCCTCCYTTGCCCGGCTGTGATGCTGTACCTGATGCCTCCCAGGACACAGGTGGATCTTCTGACTGCCAGGGCACACTGGGCAATTTTCACCCATGAACCCTTGTTCATCTCAGCATGAACACCCATGAGCTTGTTCATTTGTCTCTGCGGTACAACGTCATAAATTCCAGTTGCTCTCTCACATAAACTCCACCACCTYGCTTCTCTGACCTTTCTCTGTCCTTTCTAAAAAGTACATACCCATCTCTGACAATATTCCAGTCATGTGAGATATCCCACCATATCTCAGTGACTGCAGAGAGATCACGGCCCTATGAACACATGTATCTTTCTAGTTCTTGTTTATTCCCCATGCTGCATCTGTTTGTATACAGRCACTTTAGGGATGATCAAAGAATGGGGTTCCCTAGAGAGCATGTGAGAGTATTCACCATAACCCTGATCACCCATCATGTGTTTTGCCCTTTGACCCTCAACTTCAGGGAAGCAAAGGYACATCTGCACTGATCTCTGCACTGGTTGCTGTGACCTGCTTCCCTGGAGGAAGCAATGGCACAAGCACTGCTATTTGGACCCCTCCTCCTGAGTCCTTTATTTTACAATGCATCTCACCAAACCAGCCAGCCTGTTTGCCAAATATTCTCCTGCCTTTTTTTAGCCAGGGTGATCCCATTCCCCCATAACAAGGTATAGTCATGAAAACACAACCCACTGTTATAAAAGCCAAAACGTTCTCCACAGAACCAGCCATGAAGCCAGACACTGATTTTACATGACGTGTCTGCTTCTGGCTAACTGGGTGGACCAATGAGGAGATGATTTGGGCATGGGGATGATTTGGGATGTTTTTCACCTGTCTTGCCAGGGCTTTATWGTCTTCTGTGATCCCACCTATTTTCTGGCTTGTGGCATCATCACCCATATGAAAAAGTGATGGGGGTAGTGGTCTGTGCTTGTGACAAGTTGGGGTACCCTCTCGGCARCACCATGGATCTCAGCTCCTGGAGGGCAGGATACCCCTTGTGACTGTCTATCAGGCTGGCAGATCCATGACTCAATGCCCACTACCCACTACAACCACTTTGCAGTAACCATGTGCTGCTGGTGAGGTTCTTTGTCAGCCTTGCTCATGGACATCTAAAGACTTCAAAGCATCAGATCTGTTTTTAGTCTGGATTTTGGAGGGTGGAGATTGAACTGGAGSCCTGCTTTTGGGGGGCATCAGGGTGCAAGGCACCTCAGGCTCTGCTGTTTCTATCTGAAGCCACTTATCAATCTCTGCTTCAGCCCCTTTAATACTGCTCAGCCAACTCTCTAGTCATTCAGCCACCTGCCAGAGCTGGTCATCCACCTTTTTGTGAGCACCAGCCTTTATGTCAGGAGAACTATCTGGGCATCCATTGAAAGCTACTGCCTGTACTCGCACCTCCTCTCTCASCAGCTGTCTGAGTGGCATCCACATCTGGCTTCTCAGGATGTCTCAACAGATGCACTGGCTTTGGCTCCAGAGTACCCACCAATATGGCAGAGACCTAAAGCACTTAGCATTTCCCTGAGATGTGGATTTACTACTTCTACTTTTTCTTCCTCTACTCCTCCTCCTCCTCCTCCTCCTCGTCCACCTCGTCCACCTCCTCCTTCTCTTCTTCCTTCTTTTCTTCTTCTTCTTTTTTATAGCAGCTTATCTTACCTTCCTCAAAGAAAACAATGAGCCTGGCAATTGTTTATGTAAGGTTTTGAAGAAGAGAAGGTTAAATCAAACCCCACTTCTCTTAGTATGTTTTCCTGATGGTCTGAGCAGAAGCAGTCACAAATACATCTTCCCAGGTGAAATTGCWAATGAAAAATAGGGGAAGTTTGCTTGCTTGACCTCGCATAACACTGCAAATTCAGAGCAGATTTGGGATGATTGAGTTTACACCCCCGGCTGAGCCAACCTCTTTGTCGTGGGTTAAAAGGCTTCTCCTTTTGTTCTTTTTTTTCTYYGGGAATTTTTTCGTCCCATTTGTTGCTGGGATACCTTGATGGCCGAATCATCTGGTTAATGGCCGGGTGATTGAAGGKACAATGACACCTATGGCCACACCCTAAATGGGGAGACAGCTTTTGTGTGGTGGGGTGGGGATTGGGGAGAGGGGTTTTCCTGCTGGCGGCCCCGTGCTTTGCTCTGCGGTGCCTTGCTAGGACTCCAGCTTCAGGAGGKTGAACTCTGCTCCGTCCCATCTCGCGGCCGCGGGATTCCTGCTCGGCTCTGTGCGGTTCTGGGTTTCTTGCTGTCCAGAAGAGCACCGGCGKTTTTTTTTCCCCGCTGTGAGTTTTGCAGAGAAACTTTYCTTCATCCACCTCTGCCATCTTGTATCGATCATCCCAGCCGCGGGAGATCTTGGCTAGCCGGGACCCGCAACACCACGTCCCCTGCAGTCTCTGAGAGGTCGTCGCACCCTCCCTGCTCAGCCGGGGGCCAGCGGCGCTGCTGCCAACCAAACTGTAATCTCGCCAAGAAGGAGACTGTTTCTATAAGGCTGTCACTAGGTTTGGACTGCGCTGTTGTTGCATTGTTATTGCTACTTGTTTCACCTTGTTTTATATATATATATATATATATATTAGTAAAAACTGTTATTCCTATTTACCCATATTCCTGCCTGAAAGCCCGTGATTTTTTTTTTCAAAGCTGTAATAATTCGGAGGGAAGGGGGGTCATAGCCACCACTCCAAGGGGGGTCCCTGCCTTCA